TATGTGCTCTTAACTTTGAAGCGAGATGGGACATTTCCATAATGTACTCCCTAATATTCTCATTACCTTTATATTTCATTGTGATGAGATTTGCCAAAAGTGTACTTGTTTCAGACTTTTCATTCTTAGCAAATCTATTCTTAATTTCTTCTAGAAACTCTTTGACTGTCTTTATCGTTTCAGATATTATGCCCCTGAATGCTTCTGGAATGACCTTTTTAATGATCATCAAACACATGCGATTTNTTAGACTTTTCATTCTTAGCAAATCTATTCTTAATATCTTCTAGAAACTCTTTGACTGTCTTTATCGTTTCGGATATTATGCCCCTGAATGCTTCTGGAATGGCCTTTTTAATGATCATCAAACACATGCGATTTGACTTCTCCCACCTTTCAATATCCCTCTTTTCATCAGAGGAACTTTCATCAGTAAGAGGTGCAGGAGAAGGAACCCTTAACACAAGGTCCAGATCCATGACACCAAGAACTATATGGAGGTTCTCATGTCATGTCTTGAAGTTTGTGTCATTTAGGATAGGAATAGAATTAATGTTGGTATTAATGTTAGAAGCAGAACTAATAGCTGAATCCAGAGAACAACAAACAAGCAAAATAATCTCACATAAGTCTCAAAACAAAAATAAATTCAAATAAAGGCAAACCCCATCTCAAGATACCAGACACTCTATTAATATTTTATCTTTGGATAAAAAATATTAACTTGTAAGTGATATCTAGGTGTAGTAATCAAACACTGATAATAAGAACATATCGAATAATAAATCTTCCTTTGAGCCAATGTATTATTCATATGTAAAACCAAATAATAATCATGCGTTTATTACCACAGGTGTGCATGCAATTCTGTTAAATATTAATCTTCCTTTACACCGATTAATATTCACATAAGTTACATGCACATAATCTTGTTATATTTTGAAATAAAATTAATTTTCATAAAAAGAGGACACTTTGGTGACATATTTTTTAAATTAATTTATCTCAAAATATATATTTAAACACCAATATTTGAATGTAAATTTATGTAAATGAACTGTAGCTTCAACATATTTATATTTAAATAACTAACTTAATAAACAAGGTTGGTCTAACTTTAATGGTGGTCTGGTGTAGTTTCCAAATGGGAGGTCCAATGATCAAATCCCATATATACATACAGAATACTCAAATAGGATTCAAACCATAGACCCCATTCATCTAAGTAGTGCAACAATGCCATTGAACCAACACACTCATTGTGATTAGATGCGTCTGAATAAATTTAAAAACTATATGCCTCGTATGAATGTAAACAAAACAACATTGTTTAGGTCTTCTTCTTCACGGATTCAGAATCAAAAATACAGAACAAAACAGTGAACGATTCTACATCTCCTTTTTTAACTTAAAATACTTATAAAATCAATCGTATGTCCAAAAATTATGAAATTTATATCGTTGGACTCTTAATTAGATGTAGAATTTTTTTGTTATAAAATATTTCCAAAAATATTAAACTTTTTTTTTTTTTGAAAAATATTTTCGGCCCTAACAAAAAATCTTATCCTAATTTATTCTCAATAATTCAACATGAAATGGCTCTGATACCACATATAAGATTGACTTCATTATGTGAAAACCATCACATAAACAGGAACATGCATATTGAATCATCAAGAATTAAAATATTGGAATTGTGGAAGCCTACCTGAATCCATAACAAAATATTGCAATATTCGAGTCTGAGGATTTATGATTAAACTTGTAATTCTAGATCTATNTGTAAGATTGACTTCATTATGTGAAAACCATCACACAAACAGGAACATGCATATTGAATCATCAAGAATTAAAATATTGGATTTGCGGAAGCCTACCTAAATCCATAACAAAATATTGCAATATTGGAGTCTGAGGATTTATGATTAAACTTGTAATTCTAGATCTATACTTGTTGTCTGAGGTTTTATGATCTTCTAGATTTACACTTATTTTCTGTCTAAATTTCTCTCTGACAATGGGAATCANCCTACCTAAATCCATAACAAAATATTGCAATATTGGAGTCTGAGGATTTATGATTAAACTTGTAATTCTAGATCTATACTTGTTGTCTGGGGTTTTATAATCTTCTAGATTTACACTTATTTTCTGTCTAAATTTCTCTCTGACAATGGGAATCAGAAAGATAGAAAAATCATATATGATCTGGGGACCATGACCCCTATTTATAAACAATTGTGTCTGTTTATAAGCAGTCACGCATGTTCGTAATTTCTATTTTAATCCATCATAAAAATATAAATTACGCTTGTCTCTACACATTAATGTTCACACTTTATAATATATTAATTAAGGCCCTAAAACTTAAATTAATCACTTTAATTANCTATTGTGTCTGTTTATAAGCAGTCACGCATGTTCGTAATTTCTATTTAATCCATCATAAAAATATAAATTACGCTTGTCTCTACACATTAATGTCCACACTTTATAATATATTAATTAAGGCCCTAAAACTTAAATTAATCACTTTAATTAGCCTAATTTTTTTTGATAGCCAATAATTCATATTTATTTAATATATAAGCCCACATATTCAATTTTACTCCAACAGAAACATCAAGGAAAAGGACGGTGTTCATGACAACATTTACGTACCAAGCATCTGGAATCGTCTCTGCTTAAAAGTTACAAATACAAGAAGACACCAACCATATTGCAGAAACTCATNTTAATTTTACTCCAGCAGAAACATCAAGGAAACGGACGGTGTTCATGACAACATTTACGTACCAAGCATCTGGAATCATCTCTGCTTAAAAGTTACAAATACAAGAAGACACCAACCATATTGCAGAAACTCATACATAGCTTGTGGCCAAGCATACAAGCGTTTAAGTTGGGTGCAATGTCTCTATTCTTAGTAAAATCATGAATGTTCTTGAAATTTGGAAGAAGTTTTAATTCATTCCCTGGATTTTCTTTTTTCAAATTAATTAACATTGAACAGTTAGAATTTAGAGTAAATTATAAAAATGACCCTTAAACTATGATATTTGTGGCAATTAAGTCTTTGAACTAATTTTTGTGTTAATTGAGTTACTAAACTCTAAACTTTTAATAATTAAGCCCTTGAATTAATTTTCATGTCAATTGACCCTAAATTCTAAAATTTTNAAAAATGACCCTTAAACTATGATATTTGTGGCCATTAAGTCTTTGAACTAATTTTTGTGTTAATTGAGTTACTAAACTCTAAACTTTTAATAATTAAGCCCTTGAATTAATTTTCATGTCAATTGACCCTAAATTCTAAAATTTTTGCAATTATGCCCTTATGTTAATAGTCGTTAAATATTTAGACGAAAGGTCTCATGTGCTCACCACATGGACAACAGATAGAGGTATTTTAGATTGTTTATTCGAAACATATCAGACAAAAAATCTCANTATGGACAACAGAAAGAGGTATTTTAGATTGTTTATTCGAAACATATCAGACGAAAAATCTCATTCCTTACACCATCAACCAAAATCCTAAATTTAAACCTCTTTCATATCTATCAAACAAAAGCAGTGCAGCAAACTCTTTGATCCGGTATAAAAAACATATTACATAAATATAGGCTCTTCAAAGAGTTTGTCGATCTACTTAATTTGATGAGTANTGCTCACCACATGGACAACAGATAGAGGTATTTTAGATTGTTTATTCGAAACATATCAGACAAAAAATCTCATTCCTTACACCATCAACCAAAATCCTAAATTTAAACCTCTTTCATACCTATCAAACAAAAGCAGTGCAACAAACTCTTTGATCCGGTATAAAAAACAGATTACATAAATATAGGCTCTTCAAAGAGTTTGTCGATCTACTTAATTTGATGAGTATGAAAGAGGTTTAGGTTTAGAGTTTTGATTGATTAGTGTAAGAAATGGGGTTTTTCATTTGATATATTTTGAACAAACAATTTAAAATACCTTTATTCTGTTGTCCATGTGGTGAGCACCTAAGACATTCCGTCCAAAAACCTAACAATTACTAAAAAAAGACTTCATTGCTAAAGAGTCAGAGTTTAATGATATCTTATGTAGTTACTCTAGAATTTAAGACTCGAANATTCTGTTGTCCATGTGGTGAGCACCTAAGACATTCCGTCCAAAAACCTAACAATTACTAAAAAAAAGACTTCATTGCTAAAATTTTAAAATTTAGAGGCTCAATTGACACGAAAATTAATTCAAAAACTTCATTATTAATTTTTTTAAGTTTAGAGAGTCAAATAATACGAAATTTAGTTCAAAAACTTAATTGACAAAAGAGTCAGAGTTTAATGATATCTTATGTAGTTACTCTAGAATTTAAGACTCGAATCTATTGGAGATAAAAGTATATCCCATAATTTATTAGATATCTTGTGATTGACCAGACAATCAATTAACCAAGATTGTGGACCCGATTTCATCTTTGGATTTATCTCAATCCCATTAATTAAGTGATATGATTGTACTTGTTAGCTGTCACCCCATGTGCATGGATGTATTTCTTGTGTGTTGTTAACCAAGACTGAATAAAGAAGTAGTCCTTTGGATTTTATGTGCCATGAATGTAGATCTTAGGACCGGACTACCTTAATTCCTTGTATTTTTTTCTTGTATCCTCTTTTTATTTTTTACATCTAAATTTTATCATAGTATTAAAGTAGGAGATATTGTGTTTGTTTATCGCCGCTACCATAATATTTAGAGGGAAAAAAATCACATACTTGACTAAAGGTCTTGTAGGACATGAAGGAAATATGTTAAAATGTATATAACCGACACCCTTTCTAATAACTTAAATTTTTAGGTAAGATGATAATTCAACTTGATATCAAAATACAAGGAAGATCGACAGATTGTAACCAATATCAAATAGAAACCAAAAGAAAAAATGATATTAAATACAATTTACTATCATTTCATTGGTGACATTCTCAAATTATGTCCATAAATTATATTCCAATTGCATTAGTGCAAAAAAAAATATTTATTTTTGCACAACCTTACATTTTTTTTACATCCAATCCTTGATCCTATGTTTTGTCCCACATTGAGTAGGTGACAGCGAAAAATATTTCTTCGGGAACATCCTCCACCTTTGCGTCATGGACAAGAATTGCCAATGAGCTCATCCACGAACCACTGGATATTCCGGCCAGATGAGCCACCGTCTGCCACCGCCTCTCTGGCGGCCCTCTTCAACTTCGTCGCATTCTTATGATATTCCTCCGAACTTGGCCCGCTCATAATTTCTTCAATACATTTTTCCACTTCCTCACTACTGACCACCCCTTCTTTGTCAGGTCTGAGCCTCACACCAACCCTTAAAACATCGACAATGAGTTTCGCATTAGTTGGCTGGTCGGTCCACTTCGGAAAAGCAAGTACAGGGACACCGGCGGTGATCGCCTCCAAGAGAGAATTCCACCCACAATGACTCAAAAAACACCCAACAGATTGATGTGCCAAAACCTTTGTTTGAGGACTCCACTGCACCATAAGTCCTTGATCTTTGGTGTCTTCTGAAAACCCTAATGGAAGCTGCGGATCACCTATTGGAAACTCACATGTTAGAGTGCAAACAAAAAATATATTAGATTGATTGAGCAAGAGATCAAATTAGGGTTTATATCAGAACAAATTACTATGGCTTCATGCTAAGCTTTTGAAAGTAGGCTTGAAACTATATGTATCCGGAGGAACAATGCTATTTTTGTTAATTTCACCTTTAATAATTGTTGAATTGATAGTTAATTTTATTACTTTTTTAACTCACTAGCAATTTAATGATTGTGATAAATCAAGTCACTAAATTATATCAATAAAATAAGTCCAAATAATATTAGTGGTTACAAGATTCCTACCGTGATAACGGAGCCTCAAGGATCATAAGGGTTAGTTGCCAGGAAAAACCCAAAAGATCCTATGGGCTAGCTTCCGAGGAAAAATAGCTCGCCAGTGGGTAGACCACAAAAAAGTGAATGAAATAGATAGCTAGCAAATGTTACACCAAGAAAAGAAAGTAAAATTATCTCCAATAAACTCTCGTTTTTGACACACCATTCACTATTAATGAGTGAGAAACTCATTTGTATACTAGGATCTCACTTAAATGCATTGTGAAAGATGTGCTAAGAAGAAAATTAAAAATAAAGGTATATTAGAGAAAATCTGAATCTCGAAAAAAGGATTTAGTAAGTGCTTCATTCAATAGAAAATATGTTTGACATGTATGGGGAGTTTTGAAAAATCACATGTGAGAGCACAAAAAATTTCCAATGGGATGGACAGATAAAAAAAATATAGGTGGGTTTATGTATAGATATTTAGTATTATTATTTAAATTTAATTTATTGACTTAATCAACAATTGAATTAATAATGAGTCTCTATTAATATTAAGACGCGTTATTAATTAAATGATAATAGTTAAACTGGGAAATAAATTATGTTCAAGAAGTATTTCTAGTAAATATTTTAAAAAACCCTGAGACCTTGAGTTAAATTTTTAGAATAAGTTTGAGTCAATTTACATATAATCATTGATTATAACATCACTACCTTCTTTCACGTCGGAGTCCGGTGGCTTCACCACCCATAGAAATGGGCGTTTAGTGTTCTTCAAAGCAGTTGCAATGCACTCCATGTCTTTTCCCGATGTATCAAGTATGCTTCCAAATGAAATATATATTACAGAAGAACAATCTCTCTGATTGAGCCATTCAATACAAGCATCTTCGGATTTCCCCAGATCAACACTTATATCCAGCTCTTGATCTTCCCCTAGTAATGAAGATGGGACTAATGGACCCACAGGCCTAATAGGATGAACTTCATTCATCGAGTCGATAACTTCATTTTCAAGCTCGTGGAAGGAATTACCCAATACCCACTTCAGCTTCTTCATGTTTTGAAGCACTTCTGACAATATTTTTGGGAAGCAACCCAGAAGATTTGACGGAATAATAAATGATGGAAGGTCTTCTGTGAGTAANAATATTTCTAGTAAATATTTTAAAAAACCCTGAGACCTTGAGTTAAATTTTTGGAATAGGTTTGAGTCAATTTACATATAATCATTGATTATAACATCACTACCTTCTTTCACGTCGGAGTCCGGTGGCTTCACCACCCATAGAAATGGGCGTTTAGTGTTCTTCAAAGCAGTTGCAATGCACTCCATGTCTTTTCCCGATGTATCAAGTATGCTTCCAAATGAAATATATATTACAGAAGAACAATCTCTCTGATTGAGCCATTCAATACAAGCATCTTCGGATTTCCACAGATCAACACTTATATCCAGCTCTTGATCTTCCCCTAGTAATGAAGATGGGACTAATGGACCCACAGGCCTAATAGGATGAACTTCATTCATCGAGTCGATAACTTCATTTTCAAGCTCGTGGAAGGAATTACCCAATACCCACTTCAGCTTCTTCATGTTTTGAAGCACTTCTGACAATATTTTTGGGAAGCAACCCAGAAGATTTGACGGAATAATAAATGATGGAAGGTCTTCTGTGAGTAACAATGGCAGACCTGGTATTTCTACGCTCATTTTAGGATTTTCAGAGGTAGGAAATGGGTTTAGGTTGTTGTAGAAACGATAGTATATAGCATAAAGAGTGCATGGCTGAATCCAAAGCATGGCGGTGGGAATTCCATGTGCCGCCGCGACGTCCGCCGCCCACGGCACGAAAGGGTTGTTGATGATGCAAGAGAATTTTGGGGTGTGGGTTTGAATTATGGTGGATAAGTTCATGGGTCCGTGTTTGATTAGGCTCTCCATGTGCTGGTCCATGTTGGCCTTGCGGTCGTAGTCTTGGCTGAGGCCGTCTGAGTAGAACTCAAGGTGGATTCCGGCGATGGAGTTGGTGGTGGAGCTGGAGCTGGAGGATTGGAGCATGAGGCCTCGAGCGTCTTCGGTGGTGGCGAAGGTAACATGGAGGCCTTTGGAAACTAGGCGTTTGCCTAGTCTAATCATTGGGTTCATGTGACCTATAGCTCCAAATGCCACCATCAGTACATGTGTTTCTTCCTTTTCTTTGTTAATGGCCATGAAGAGAGAGAGAGAGAGCGATGAAGAGAGGGAATTGGGGTAACTTTCACTAATTCAAGCTGGACTCAATACAGTTAAGAGAATCGTGTCCGGACGAATGACATGATCATGATGAATTGTCACTTATATATAATTCTCACCATGCAATTATGTTACACGAAACATCACCTCAAAACTTCAACCCAAATTGAAAGCTTGCTGACCTAATTCTTGGGAAAATGACAAGTAGTAAAAACATAGTAGATAAGAAGGCCACAAATCGTATGCAATGACGCAATGAAATTAGAATATGGTGTATGAAAGGGTAGGTAACATGACCACTTGTGGCAACGATGACAATAAAATGGTAGGTTGAAGAAAGCAAGTGGAAACAAATAAAATGAGTGGGATTGTTGTTGTTTTTCGTCCTCTAAATGATTTACAATCGGGAGAATTAAATTCAAACATTGTGAAGTTTTTATTTAATCATTCAGATTTTTTGATATTTAAAATATTACATACAGACCTCCTGAAATTTGTACACACGTAACACTTAAACCTTTACCATCAATATTTGTTAGTATATCTATTAATAAATTACATCTAGACCCCTTAAAATTTATAAGTGTGTAATAGTTAGATCCCTCTATATAATAAAGTAGTTAGATTCATTTGTCTTTAGTTTTTCGTGGCTCATATCATTTGAAGAGATAATGATCCTACGGTCTTAATATAAAAGGTCCTCTCCCCCAATATTTTGAATAAGACTTTCATTCATTCCATAATTCTAAGACTTATATATCTCTTATAACTCTCTATCTCATATTATACATTAATTAGGTCGTTAATTATGATTCTAATTAAAGATTATTTTTAAAAAATTTAAATAAACAAATTGACCTTAAATAAATATTCTTTACGTCAAAATGAGTAAAATGACTATAATATGGGTCAAATTTTGTATTGAAATAAAAATACTATAATTATCAAACTGTGTAATGTGATATATCTATATACTAAGGGGGGTATCATTATTTGTCTTGAATTTTTCGTGGCTTAGATTCTTTTAAGATTATTGATCAAATGATCGAAATTTCTCCTCCAAATTTTATTTTACTCGATTATCGATTCAAAGTGATTATAATTAGTATTCGAAATGATTATGATTATTTTTACAATCAAAGTGAAATTGATTGTAAAAATAATAAAAAATAACTAAATTAATTGATTGTAAAAATAATCAACTGTCACGTCATTTAGGCTCCAAATTTAGTCACAAAATTTGATCAATGTAGTATTACTCTTATAATTAAGACTCAAATTACACTGAATTTGACTGACATGTATAAATGATAAATTCTTGCTAAAACTTAAAGAGTGGGATTATTCTCACCCCATTTAATTTTTCATTATTAAACTATTAAGTCTACTTTTTTTATATCCACATCATGCTACATACATCTTTTTTAAAAAGAAAAGAAAAAAATAAGGAAAAAAAAAAGAAAAAAAGTAAACCGAAATAAGAAGGAATAAAAAAACCAATCAAAACTTAAAGGAACAAGAAAAATTACAATACGTGAAATCACGAGACGCAAAATCGAACATGAAAAAAAAATATCCAGCACAAATGCAAAATCGAACAAGAAAAAAAATATGAAGTATAGATACAAAACCTATACAAGATTAAAAAAATAACAAATAATCTGAAAATCATATATATAGATACACACACATATACATTCTAAATAAAAAATTATTAAACTTGACAGAGATATCAAAACATATTAAAAATAGTAAAAATTCATACAACAAACATAAAATCAAATATATAATTAAATTAAAAAGTAATACTAACATGTATCTCATTGAAAAAATTCATATTAAAAAGTATTTTTGTGAGTGTATCAGATGAAATAGAGAATGAATCCCTAATTATGACAAAATATAAGTTGAGTTTACTTATTAAACGGGGTGTATGTAGTACGGAGTGAACTTAGTTACTAATTATGAGTGAATTTAATAGTTTGATAATGAAAAATTAAATTGGGTGAGAATAGCCACACCCAAACTTAAATTCGATTGAATTTTATTAATATTTAAGTTGAACTCAAATGAAAACTGATTTTAATTACTCAACAAAATTTTTTACATCTGCAAAAATTCATATGAAATTTTTGGATGTTTTCCTCACAAAAGTTACATGAACTCATATTAGAAAAATGATTTAGAGATAATGTTATGAATTTTATGTAGAAACTTGCAGATAAACAAATAGTTATATTTATTTGAAATTTGAGATAAAGTTTATTAGAAATATTGAAATTGTGGANGGTAATGTTATGAACTTTATGTAGAAACCTGCAGATAAACAAATAGTTATATTTATTTGAAATTTGAGATAAAGTTTATTAGAAANGATAATGTTATGAATTTTATGTAGAAACTTGCAGATAAACAAATAGTTATATTTATTTGAAATTTGAGATAAAGTTTATTAGAAATATTGAAATTGTGGATATTTAACCAATAATAATTATATTTTCTCAAATTTTTTAATTAATATGTTGTAGTAGTTGTAGCATGACTTTCATTATATAAAAATTTGATTACATATGTGTTGCATACAGGTTGAAAAATATCAATTTGATCGTTATATTGTTGAAATTGTATTATACATTGTCTTTATGTATGAAAAAATATTTATAATTTTTTACAAGTAATATATTGCCTTCACGCACGGGTAATTATTAGCACAATTATATTATCTATTAGAATTTAATTATTTGCAAATATTATAGTTGGACCCTAAAATAAGTCCCAAGTAGAGTTAATTAGCTAATACTTTCATCGAAATTTTATACGAAGAGAGGGATTTGGGGTTTACTGTCACTAATTCAAGTTGGACTCAATTCNTTTTACAAGTAATATAGTGCCTTCACGCACGGGTAATTATTAGCACAATTATATTATCTATTAGAATTTAATTNTGTATGAAAAAATATTTATAATTTTTTACAAGTAATATATTGCCTTCACGCACGGGTAATTATTAGCACAATTATATTATCTATTAGAATTTAATTATTTGCAAATATTATAGTTGGACCCTAAAATAAGTCCCAAGTAGAGTTAATTAGCTAATACTTTCATCGAAATTTTATACGAAGAGAGGGATTTGGGGTTTACTGTCACTAATTCAAGTTGGACTCAATTCAGTTACAAAAATTATGTGGTCGGAATTTCACATCAATCGTGTATTTAGTGAGACATCGAAGTTCACATGACTGATATGACCATATCCAACATAGCCAATTCCTATGCATATATATAATTCTCATTGTACAATTGTGTTAGAGGAATGTTCATCTAGTGTCCGACCTAACTTGAAAGCTGCCTAATTCAAGAGGAAATGAGAAGAAATAAAAAATAGGGTACATTCACTTCTATGAGATTTGATGAAATAACAACTAGATTCTCTTATGTATGAAAAATAGCACTGACTGCCCTCCTATTTTTAGTGTGAATAACAAATTTTCCCAATCGTTAGTGTTTTGATACAAAACCATCCCAAATTTGATGACATAAGCAACTTATATTTATAAAATGTCAACATTACCCTTTTACATTGCACATGCATATGATTTGACAAAAGTTATGCATGTTATAAATAATATATGGGGTTAATCTTATTTTACACTCTGATAGATATTTTGATTTTCAACTTGCACCATAAAACATTAAAAATTATAATTTACACCCTTAATGTTATGAATAAGCAACAATGTGGACCTCGCCTACACTGTTGTTTAATTTTTCATCACAAATTGAAGCACGTGAATTGTAAGTGTTTCAGACAGGAACTTATGTACAAATTCACATACTGTTGGCACTCATATGAGTTGCATAGAATNTTGCCTACACTGTTGTTTAATTTTTCGTCACAAATTGAAGCACGTGAATTGTAAGTGTTTCAGGCAGGAACTTATGTACAAATTCACATACTGTTGGCACTCATATGAGTTGCATAGAATAGAGTTGACCATTATCTGATCAACAAAACCTTATTTTCGATATATAAAATGGGGTTGGGGTTGGCGTTGACATTGGTCAACATTGGGCTTGGGCGAGTGAGTGAGTGGTTCATATGTTTGTGAAAATAGGTTTATTTATTTATTTATTTTATAATGATATATGATGCGGCATCATTATATGATTGGATGCTATAAAAATCAACTACAATAAAAAAAATGTTTTCATATTGAGGGCATTGCAGTCTTTTTATTGTTTCTGTTAGTAAAAGATGGAAGTCACTGACAAGAGAGATCAGTGTTATTTTTCATACACGAGGGGATCTAAATGTTATTTGACCAAACCTCAACAAAAATGAATATAATTTACTCTTAAAAAAACATATCGTAGATAACAAAGTCACCAATACAATGAATCACTTGAAAAAATGGCACACCAACGGGTGGTTAAGACAAAAACTTATGGCATCAATGATTACATAAAGGTAGGTAGAAGAAAACAAGTGCAAATAAACAAAATGCATTTGTGGCATTATTGTTGTTTTTCGTCCTCCTAAATAAATTACAAATATTGTTTGTCTAACTTGTTATTCTCCTTGATGTGGAAGCAATTATTTATCTATTATATTATATTATACTACTATAAAAGACAATTAAATGAAAAACTTTTGAATGACTAAAATAATCTTAATAAAATAAATAATCTTCATCTAAAATATCAGGTAATTCTCAAAATTCTTAAATTTTTTTTTTACCCCTCAACAATAGAATTAAGTCATTTCAATCCCTAATTTAATTACCAAACCTCACTATCGAATATTGATTGGGGGAGGTCACCTCTTCATCTGTCTCTCTCTTCCTTCCCCCCTTTAATGGTAACATTAATTAGTCTTTCATTCCTCTCTCTCTCTCTCTCTCTCTCTCTCTCTCTCTCTCTCTCTCTCTCTCTCTCTCGCAATTGAATAAGCAGTAAGCACTTTGTGCCCAACAAATTCTTGGATTTAAATGTGTGGAGCTGGGGCTATTCCACGTCGCATAGACTTTCAGCGCGTGTGAGTTATATG